GGTGAGTCTCGTGAAAACCAACGTTTGTTAACAGGAGCAAAGGAAGCAAAGTTTCCTTACTTTAGCAAAGGAAAACCAGTCTCCTCTTGGCTTATATCAAAATCCTCAGACATTCTTCTTTACAAATCCTAGTTTTGTACTTCTAATAAGTGATTTAATAAGTGTTTTGTTTTGATCTCTCCCCTGCGCTTCCGCGTTCGTCACTTCTGAGCGGCGCATGCACAAAGCTGAACTCATACGTCATCCGCACGGAACTGCTTCCGTTTACAACAGTGAGCGCAAGCTAGATTAAAGGGATTATTACGTTTTGAATATAGATATTTTTCTTACAAAAGCGCATCGATTCGCTACAGGAGGCCTTTGTTCACCCCCCAGAGCCGTGTGAAACACTTTTTTTTTATGGATGGGCGCTTTTTATTTCACTTCTTTGGGACTGAAGCACTGCAACACCCGCTGACTGCAATGATAGAGCTTGGAATAGCCAGGACAATTTTTTATCTAACTCCGACTGGATTCGTCTGAAAGAAGAAAGTCATATACACCTAGGATGCCTCGGGGGTGAGTAAAACACAGCCTAATTTTCATTTTTGGGTGAACTAACCCTTTTAAGTTATTCCTGTCCCACATCAGGATTTGCTTTCATAACAAACGTTAATAAAACAGCTGATTAGTGCAGCCAGATGAATTTCGCTCTAGTGGCTCGCAGAACTCATAACAGCCGTTTCTGAGAAAATGAGAAAAGGCTGTGTCAGGAAGTCAGTCTTCACGGTTATGGTTTTGGTCCACTTGCCTTGATTCGTTTAAATCAAACCCGTAGCCTCCCAATTCTGCAGTGCACAAGAAAAAGAAACGTAACTCATTCTCCGTTTAGCTCTGCTTAGGCTGTGTCTGGGGTAGTTGTGCTGTTCTTGACCATACTGCATAGCGTCGTTCAGCCACAGTTTTGATGCAAACAGAACATTACATCATCCTCAGGCTCAAACTTGTGAAAACTCCACCGCCGAGGTCCAGTAAACACGTTGTAAGTTGTGAAAACGAAATCTGAAGGCATTTAAAAATATTAACTGCAAACAGACTTGTCCGTTTGTTCCAGTACATGTCCTATTCATGATGTGCATTATTGCAAACAGTTTCAAAATTATATGCACTGTAGCAATAGGGCCAGTGTTCAGTAAAATAACCCTATTTGGCAAGCAGTAATTCTCATACGACGTTATTGCACAGTTGACAGCTCAAAATCAAATGTTAAAAGCTTTGCGCATGTGTAAAACAATTCAGATTGCAGGTACACAGAATCCATCATTGTAATGAATTACATTTTAATACTTTGATGATTGCTGGATGAGATCTGCACAGTGACCACAAACTCCCTGCAATGGTATTTATACAAAGGCTGGTTCTTGCGGTTCTACCACAGTCGAAAACTTCACTCAATCTAAACTGTCATCATAGTCTGTGACGTGTTGTGAGCATGTGCGAAAAATATTGTGCTCTGGATTTCTGAACAAATCTGGCCTTGAATTAAAAAGCAAAAGGCCATGCAAGTAAACCCGATGAGGTAACATGAAACAGGCCTATGCAGTCTTTTTAAATGGCTGTATTTAAGCTGGCTGGAAAGCAATATGATGCGTATTGTTTATGCGAGTGTGTGAGCATGCAAATGATTGCATCGGGGTTCATGCATATAATTAAGAATTTAAGAGGCTCCGTTTCTCCACGTGGAGTCTCAGAGTATTTTGAGCTTCTAAGGAAGATGCTTTAATATATTTTAAATGGCCAGGCAGCTATGCTACCCACTGGTCCTGATACAGATCTGCGCATGCTTAACGTGCCTACATAATGTGGGATATCATTACTCGTAATTACAGGCAACACCATCCAAATGGTGTGCTCAACGACGATTTGTTAAAGCATTTTTCACATTTAATTTTTCCCCCCATGCTGTCAGTATGGAAAACGCTTGTGTATTGCTGTGTTTTGTTTGAATGATAATTACAATGTGCTTCAAAACTACCCTGGTTGGAAACTCCTCTTTATGAGTCACTGTTGGTTTTGGAGGGGAGAGTGGGGTAAGATGTGCCACCCCTGTAATCTAGCAAACTGGATGATTTTTGTCAAATGACCATGTTTTAAAAAAATGGCCATTGTATTCAGCTGCCTGTGATTCACATAAGCAATTTTTTTTGTGTTAAAAAAAATGCATGTCAATGTAAATTTTCTGCATGGCAGGTAAAATGAGTTTGATGTCAAAACAAATGTATCCATGCCAAAGATGCTATGTATTATCAAATCAAATCACATCACATCATGAATAAATAAATACATTTAGCAATGAATTAGAAATGAATATTTTGTTTTCCCCAAAATTTTTGCTTTTGGGTAAAGTGTGTCAGGTGCTTCAGGGTAAAATGTGACAGTGGCACATAGTGAGGATGAGTTTTGCCTCCAAATGCAGGAAAAAAACAAATACTCGTATCATATCATATCATAAAATGCAAATGCACTGGATTTTTCTAGTTGGCTTATGAAAATGTGAATATTGTGCATCAAAATAAGACTTTGAAATAAGATTCATGTTCATTAAATGTTCATATTTTACCTGAAATAAATAGTTAAAATATTCCCTAATGGCTCAACATTCATAACACATATTTCCCCTAATGTGGGGTAAGTCGTGTCACTCGACCATTTTTCTTAAAAAGTCATATTTCTGTGCCCCTATGTATTCTGAAATATAATCAGGCATATTCATTTCCCTGATTGCTTATTTCTTCTTATCTAGTTGACGACCTAAGTAAAAAGCGGCACAGTTTACCCCACTCTCCCATTCATTCTCCTGCCTTTCCATGACTCATGTTCATGTATCCTTCCTGTTTTTCGCTCATTTTGCATCATGTTTTTGTTCTCTCCATGTCTTCTGTGTCCTCTTTTGCCCACCCGTTCCCCTTCTTTCCCCCCGCTCTTTCTCTCCATGTTTCCTTGCAGTGTGGGCTATTAAGGGCTATATTTAGAGCAAAATTGTAGTTTGGCTCTCAGAGACCATTTTATTTGGATTTAAAGTGTCGGCACCAGATGGGTGCGTTGGCTAGGAGTCACTCTCGCACACACACTCAGCTTTTCTTATGCACACTCTATCGCTTGCACGAGGACGAAGAAACACACACACGCGCGCCATGAAGCCACAAATCAACGAACAAACACGTTTATGATGAAAACCCGCCGTGACATCATCGAAAATAAACTTCTTAAAATGAATTTCATCAACATAAATCAACACAGAAATGCGCTATGAAGCCACAAATCAACAGACACCGAAATTTATGACAAATACACAAGTACAAACAGACGATCGCTCATGAGCCATCGTCAAACACGTCAAGCCACGCGGCACTCATACTGCAGTGCGTATCTATGACATCCCACACATACAAACACACACGGCGTGTTTCATGTAAAGGCAGGACCAGCGATTAGGGATGATTTGATTAGTGCGGAGCAGAGAGTGTGCTTCACTGCTTAAAGACTTCCTCCAGTTTCTCCTCAACCTGACTTCACAATCCCGCTTATGGTGTAAATGGAGTGTGTGTTACCGACCGCAAGCAGCTGTCATTCCTGCTGACCCTCTGGTGGCGAGGGGATTCCCTCGCTCACCGCTTCCTTGATCGGAGCTGGGCAATGCTCGCCGACGACCTCTGAGCCTCCGTCCTCCAGAGGGTGGGTACAGTCACAGGGGAGCTGCGTTAGGTGCTCCTCTTGGGGAGTGGCCTCGGCGTAGGCCAGCTCTGATTGGTCGTCTGTGTGTAATGGGCTGTTCTGACTGGACAGCTCTGTGCACTCGGTCTCGTTCACGAAGCTGCCCTCGGACGGCTGCTCCGTTTGGTCATCCAGGTCGGGGAGGTTAGGTTCCCGTGGCAACAACAGGCTCCTGTTATGACTCCAGAGCTTGTGGAGCTCAGTGACCTCTGAGACGCTGCTGTTGTTGCCGCTGTCACGGAAGCTGGCCAGCGGGGGACGGACTTTCACTCCGGTCACAGTTACAGAGCCCTCGATGGCCTTACGCAACTATAAACAGACATTTTTTTTAAATGTGTTTTTCTGCTATAAAGAAGAGCTAGTAAAAGAATACAATCACACACCTCCTTTAGAGAGACCACTCCTACTAGACGTCCGGTGCTGGTGACATAGGCATGATCCAGACCAAGTAGTGAGAAAATGGTGTGTGTCTGAACAAAAGGAACAGTGATAAGGACTGACATTCATGTTTCATTAAAGATGATAATAAAACTGGCCTGTCACACTTTAGTTTGGGGACCATTTCTCACTATTAACTAACTATTAACTACAACATTTGCCTTAATAACCTTATAAATTGCTTCTTAGTAATAGTTAGTAAGGTAGTTGTTAAGTTTAGGTATGGGGTAGGGTAAGGAATCTAAAATATGGTCATGCAGAATAAGGCATTAATATGTGCTTTACAAGTACTAATAAACAGCCAATATGCTGGTAATATGCATGCTAATCAGAAACTAGTTAATAGTGAGAATTGGTCCCTAACCTGTGTTACCTTTTCCATATGACTTTATATAGCTTACAATACAGTCTGTTCCTAACAAAAATCTGCCATGCGGCTTCAGAAAATATCGTACAAATGATTTGCACTACTTTTATGATCTTTCTTTTGTCATTTTATATGGCCGAATAATAGATTGCTGTAGGGATGACATATTTTTGTAGGCCTAAACCCAGAAACAAGCATTTTTGCACTTCCGTTTCCTTTACTTCATTTTCCCCAAGACAAGTCAATGTTTTTTGAATGCTCAGGATATTTTTCACACTTTATTCTATGACATACTGTAAAATACATCAGTAATACTTAATGGGACTACAGAGATTGTCTACTCACTAGTCTTGTTTTACAGCCTCATTGTATTAAATAATCACACTCTTGCAACCCACTGACAACTTAAACTTTCAGGGAATTAAAAAAATAAATAAATACTGAAAGAGTTGTCAGAAGCTTAATGGTTAGTGACATTGAAGTCATGTGACTGTGGCGTATTTTGTTTACAGCCTACATTTAGCTTTTAATTTCTGGGGATTGTATTTAGGCTTCAAAATTCATAAAACTTGTGTTAATTTGTGAAGATTAACTTGAACAAAATGTGTAAGAATCATAAAGGTTTGTTGGCCACAGAGCTTATTTTCTGCAATAACCCAAAAGCCAATGGAAAAATCCTATTGGGTTTTTGTCAAGGGAACTAGGGTGAAGTAAACATACAAAAATACGTCATCACTGCAGCGCTCTGTGCTTGGCAGATACAGCAAATCTTTTACCTTATGCAAAGATGTCCGTTCCACCAGTTGAAAGGGTGCAGGGTCTATTTTACAGTTGTTGAAATTAACAGCCTCATCCAACTGTTGCTCCTCCCACTCTGCCATCTGAAAAATACATTTTTTTAAAAAAGGTAAAACTATTAAAAGTTCCAAAAACAAATTTAATGTAAACTGACAGGGGCAATTAATAGGTTTTATACTATTTATGCAAGATCATAAGACAATCCTGTCCATAAGCAGTCCATTAAATATTAAAGAGATAATTCAAGCAAAAATGCTAAGTCATCATTTGCTCACCCCAATGTCATTTCAACCCTGTATGACTTTCTTCCTTTAGTCTAACACAAAAGAAGATATTTACTGCAGAATACTATGCTCTTTTTCATACAGTGACAGTGAGTATTGACTATGCCTGTCAAGTGTGATTTTCAAGGTCAAATTTTCAGTGAATAATGTCTTAAATTTCAGTCTGTTCCTCATAAAAGCTATCATTTATATGGAGGAGAACAGTGTGAGGCTGTGAGCATTCTTCATGACTTCTCCTTTTGGGTTCATCAGAAGAAAGTCAGTCAGACTTTCAGGAATGAAAGGAGTAAATCATGATAGCATTTTGATTTTTGAATGAACCACCCCTTTAAGAAGCTACAGAACTAGCTCTGTAACTGAGTGTCCTAAACAGGCGCCTAAACTTAGGTTAAGTGACAAGTGAAAAAGATAAGCAACAAAACATTTTGGTGGTCTAGCAAAGAACATCTTGAGCTTCAGTGGAAGCAAGAACTTCGGACCTTATGTACAAAGAGTCATATGATCAATGTCACGCATTTACTTATCTGATTAGACACCTAGAAATGGAACAGGATCTTTTGAAGGTTTCAGAATTCTGAAATTGTTCTTTTCCGAGTTTAAATAAGATTCTGAATCCCAGAATCAGACTTTCAAACTCCTCTTTATATTCTAGAACACACTTTATTTACAATGATATGGAAAATACCTCAGAATGTGTGACTCACTACAAGAATCACGATACAAATATAACATAATTAAGGGTAAGTATAGTATTTAATATACCTCTGCTGTTGACATGTCATCTTCAACATCAGGTGTATCCTAAAAAACATCAAGCCACACAATTAGACACAGAAATGCGCAAATGTCCCTTTCATACGTTCTTGTCCTCACAAACGGTCATGCAATTCACTCAGTTCACAAGACAAGCTACACATACTAATGTAATCTACCGAAGCGGCTCAAGCTTTACTAAGCATTAGCAAGCTTAAGCAATACATTAAACGCAGCCCAGGGGAGGGTGAGGTAGATTGGATGCCATTACCAAGGCAATAAAGAACTAAGACAGGGAATAGCTTTTCAAAAGGTTTTTAATTTGATTGGAGAGTTTAAGGCTCCAGTTCAAAATTGGACTTGAATCAACTTTGCAAAGCTTTGTTCAAAAGAAACGGGTCCAACTGCAACATCCCCTGACGTCTGCCTGTAGGTTTACAAACATTTGGGGCCTGTTCGGAATCTTGACAACTGCACAACCAAACCATGCGTCACACAAACGCACTCATCCCATGAGAGATAAATATACACTTCATAACATGGCATGATTCATCTCATGAGTCAGCGTGTTCCCTGTTCCCTAGAGGGGAAGTATCAATACAGCACACAGGCAGAACGCAATAAGGCCTCTTGAGTAAAGGCCCTATTGGCTGTGCCACTGCCACCCCCGATGATGCGTGTTGTGGGCGAGCGGAACGAGTCCCTGCGGCTGCGTTCTTACCGCCATGGGTATCTTCACACGCTTGGGCCTCCTGCTCCTCTTAGGAGCCTTGGGGCCAGCATTGCTCTTTCAGACAGAACAGATAGAAAAGGGAGGAGCATAAAGCGTTAATGTAACTCTAACGCAACGCTCCCTCAACAGCTGCACCTTCAGCATTGACTATTATCAAGGGACACTGTTAGAGTCATCGGTCCTCCGAAGAGAAAGGCAGAAAGGGGTGTGTAACAAATAAATACAGCAGCCGAAATCCTATGTTAATGACAGAACGCTCACTTTACGCTGGTCAACAGATATCGCTTGATAAGAGAAGTCCTGTGGGAGTCTACTTGAACATGAGGTGAAACTCCAAAGAAACAGACTAAGGCTTTGTTCACACGGCACTTAAATCCTATTTGTTTTTCAAGTCTGGGGCTGGGTTCATAAAACATTCTATAAGTACTAAATTCTGCTGAACTGCTGTTTTCTCTAAGAATATTTTATATTCCCAAAAACATTTCCTAAGAATCTGTTTTAGATTATTTTAAAGACAAAACTTAAGAAGAATCTGAATTCCGGAAAAGAATATTTAGAAAAAATTTACCTTTTAAAGTTAGGTAGAATTAAAAAAATCTATTTAAAATGTATGACACATTATGAAAAACATGACTCTGAGTGCTAAGTCTTCGGCAAGAACTGCCATTTAATCATATAACACATGAAAAAATAAGATATTTGAGAACCTCTTTAGAATTAAAAAAAAAAATGCATTCAGGAATATTCTTACAAACTTCTCAGAATTTATCTTTTTTTATTTCTTAAGTTCTTTCTTAAGAAGGTTGTGGTAAATCCGCCAGCATTCAATAGTAAACTACACATGTGAGTGTACACATGTGAGTGAATTCAGATATTCTGCAGCATAAATGCTGAATAAAAATACATGAAATATGATTTGACCGATCAGGCTGGAATCAAACATTGATTTTTTATCCACATATTTATGTGCTTTGAATCACATTTGTGACCCTGGACCACAAAACCAGTCATAAGGGTAAATTTTTCGAAATTGAGATTTATACATCATCTGAAAGATGAATAAATAAGCTTTCCATTGATGTATGGTTTGTTATGATAGGACAATATTTGGCGGAGATACAACTATTTGAAAATCTGGAATCTGAGGGTGCAAAAAAATCTAAATATAGACAAAATCGCCTTTAAAATTGTCCAAATGAAGTTCTTAGCAATGCATATTACTAAACAAAAATTAAGTTTTAATATATTTACAGTAGGAAACTTACAAAATATTTTCATGGAACATGATCTTTACTTAATATCCTAATGATTTTTGGCATAAAATAAAAATCAATAATTTTGACCCATACAATGTATTTTTGGCTATGGCTACAAATATACCCCAGCGACTTAAGACTGGTTTTGTGGTCCAGGGTCACATTTGTCAAAAATGTTTAAACAGGAGACAACTAAACAGAAGTGAGCTGAATACACCAAAAGATACTGCCTGTCTGAACAAAGCCTAAGACGAGCACTGAAACATTAAAAAGTTACAAACAAGATGTTTAGGCTAATTGTGAGGCTGGTCTGGCAGATGGTTCCTCTTGTGTCTCTCGTCCCATATTCAGTCTCTGGGCACCTGTAAAATCTACAGCTACATAAGTGCCACGTATCACCCACAATCCCTAGAGAGCCATCGTACCTCTACTAGCTCCTTCACAGGTTCCCCAGAAGATAGGTTAGGAGAGCCTGCAGAAGAGGATTGATTAGATTAGCACAAGATGGGTGCATACCAGGGGGTCGCAGACAGTTCGCAACACAACATACATGAGTAGGAGTTCACATGTGTGAGTAAGTGTTATATACACACTGTTTAATGACTCTGTGTTGCTGATTGCAGACACTGTCTTCAGAGCAGACTTGAGGGGGATCTGGGAGTTAGTCAGTGTGGGGCTGTAGGAGGACTCTTCAGTGGAGATCTGGAGAAAAACAGTCTGTCAGATCCACTTATAAGTAAGTTTGATTACTAACACAGGCTTCATGTACTCCCATCTGTATTACTGAACTAAGAGATGACAGCCTGCCGGGACGGAATTCTTTGGGATGAAACAGAAACATGAAAAAAAAAACACCTGCAAACTGTGACGCAGCGATCTGACAATCCTTTATACTTCTTGAGGAATACAGACAAATGGGAAACACAGACTCCAAAAATTATGTCAGACTAACATTGAACATAATTAAAGAAATATAGTATAGGGACCAATTCTCACTATTTACTAGTTGCTTATTAGCAAGCACACTCTAAACCCGGATAAGTTGAGTTTACTTAAAAATTTTGAGGAAGCTGGTTGCCCTAAAAAATTTAAGTAATGTTTACTTGATAAACTTGAGTGAAATTTACTTAAGCCATTTAAGTTTTGTTAACTTAATTGAATCTGTGATCTGAGGAACATTACTACTCAGAATTACTGACTCCCAGAGTGCATTGCGGCATGAATAAATTATGCAATTGCTTTGTTTTACAGTAGTTGTTTTTATTTTCCAATTTTATTTGCTGTATTGTGTCAGTAGTAGCACAACAAAAAGAGCAAATACAATGTCTATTGTTACAATTAATAAAAATAAATGAAATTGAATTGTTACCATTGTTGTGATTCGTGTGCTGAATGTTGAAGTCTGTGTGTGACTTGAGCATATTACCACAAATATGAAAGGATTATATCAACCAAATAAAAAGCTTCTCAAGGTATTCATGAAAATCAATGAAATTGTAAAAGTTCATTAATAATCACAAAACAATACACTAATGATTTAATTTGAAGACAGATCACTTTAAAAAAAAAAAACTATTTATTACTTTTCTTCCCTTGAAGTCAAATAACTCCAATTTCATGTTGCATTGCTGCATTAACTGGAAAAAAAATATAATAATACAAACGAAGTTCCAAGTGCCCAACCAAAGAGAACGCTAATCACTGTAATGGAGAGTTAAAAAAAAAATGTAAAAAAATATTTTAGGAAAATCAACATCAATTTATGAAGCTAGCTTATGTGATGTTCTCTCAAATATTTCATCTGTATTGAAAATTCAACATTCATGATGACTTTGGGAAACGAGTGAATGCAACTAGTGACAGATAACTGCAGACATGGAGGAAATGAGTGAAAAGTCTATTAAGACTCGTTTTCTTTTCTTCTTCTTCTGTTGTTATGTTGTACATTAGCAACATATTAGTGCACTGCTGCCTCTCACTGCTTTATTAATGTCATTGGTTCCTTTGTGGCTATTTGAATATTTTAAGTGTCACTCAAAACAGTAAGTACATTGTTTTATTTGCCTTGAAAGTAGCTGTAACTTAATAAAACCTAGTAAGTATAACAACTAAGTAAAGATAACTAAATATATCTAAGTAAGGTAAACTATTGGATTTTACAGTGCATATTAATAGCATATTGGCTGTTTATTAGTACTTATAAAGCACATATTAATGTCTTATTCGGCATGACCATATTCTACATCCTTAATCTTACCAAATCCCTAAAATTAACAACTACCTTACTAACTATCAATAAGCAGTAATAATTAGAAGTTTATTGAGGCAAAAGTCGTAGTTAATAGTTAGTTAATAGTGAGAACAGGACCTTAAAATAAAGTGTGACCAAAATTATTTATTACTTTCTCTGTGTTGTTCCAAGCCCATTCCAAGCCCAACATGGAAGAAGAAATGTTTATGCAGTTCGTCTTGTACTACGAAAGCTCATAATGACCAATGAACACTATAAAAGAACCATAAAAGGAGTCCATGTGCCTCATTTGCTATATTTCAAGTCTTCAGAAGCCATACTACACAGACTGAAATTTAGGTCTTTAATTATGGAAAATGTGCCTCTTCGCTGCAGCTCTCAAATCTCATGCTTCATCTTGCATGTTCAGTTGCTTTCAGAGGTGCAGGATATATCAGTGCCACACTGGTTTGATATTTTTGGATTTACTGCATTGTTGGATATTTAATTGTTCATACTCACTTTGCTTATTTTAACATTTAAATGACCTATGCCGTCCATTAACACTCACTTAATCTTTAAAAATACTAATAATTTAATAACACTTTTTCGAGTAATCTTTAGCAAATACAGTATCTAAATGAATATCCATTTTTCATGTACTATTATACTGTATTATTTTTAGAATGCTGTGATGCCTAAATTCACTTGTAGCATTTAATATGATTGAATTTAGCTTTTAGTGTTTCATTTTAACTTGATTTAGACAAATATAGCACAATGTAGAAACTACAGATAAGAATTTATCAGCTACCGTCCATAACATGAAAATAATTATCGGCTTATCATTAGTGGCCATAAATAATGCTAATATTAATGCATCCCTGATGGCTTTTTGGCATCTAAAACCGTGTGCAATCTGAAAGTGCATGTGAGATTTCAGTTTCACAGAAAAATAGCATTCAGGCTTAGAACAACATGCGAGAACAATTTTAATTTGTGGTGGAACTATTCCTTTAACCTACCGTAGATTTTCACAAGTCTACACTACCGTTCAAAAGTCTGGGGTCACTGCGTCCTTGCTGAATAAAAATATTAAATAACTAAATAAACGTTTAACACTTTAGGGTAACATTTTAGTATAGGGACCAATTCTCACTATTAACTAGTTACTTATTAGCATGTCTATTATTAACATATTGGCTGTTTATTAGTATATTAATAAACAGCTAATATGTTAATAATAGACATATATTTACTTATAAAGCACATATTCTGCATGACTATATTCTGCATCCTTTAATCCTACCCAATACCTAAACTTAACAACTACCTTAGTAATTAGGAGTTTATTGAGGCAGAAGTCATAGTTGATAGTTAGTTAAGAGTGAGAATTGGACCTCAAAATAAAGTGTGACTAAAAAAAGTATTGACCCCAAACTTTTGAATGGTAGTCCATGTCCGATTCATCTCTATAATGACCATATAAAATTATATGGGGAAAAAATGCCTTTCATTCCTGTATTGTAATTAACACTAGCATCTTCTCTCATACCAGGAAACGTACGCCATGACCAGTCCTGGAGGGAGAGTCTTGGGGGAAGGTGGGCACATGGGTGCCATTGTCCTGAGCACGTTCTCTCAAGTACTCCAGCCTGCGAGCTCGGCTGAGCTGCTGCGAGAGCAGGGACTGAAGCTGGGAGCGCTCTGTAGAGCCCAGCAGGATCATGGACTCTGGAGCCAGGTGGGGACACAGGCAAGGGAGACAGCAGAGAGACCAGAAAGAGAAAGAAAGAGAGAGAAAGAGAGAAGTGAGAGAGACACAGCGGGATAGCTGGAGGAATGGGGGATAGCAAAGGGAAATTGTGGGAGGGTGGGAAAGGAGATGGAGAAGGTAAAGAATGTGTCTGTCACAGGATATGAGGTGGAATTGTGGGATTACATTTCCAACTGTGAGCTTTCATTTAGGAACATCAAGAAAATGTCTGGAAAAGAAACTGTACTAAAATCAGCAAAACATCAAAAAGTATTTACAGCCTCATTTTTACATACTTGTATTTTTCTTTTTAGCACGCTCTCCATTTTCAAGCATCATACAAACATCTAAACTAAACTGTTTCTTCATATTCATTCAGAAGCTCATTTACTTCCCAGTAGAGGTCTTCACGGGTCCACTTGGAAAACCCGAGGTCCGAGTCGGGTTCGGTATTAGCGGCCTCGGGTCTCGGGTAATTTAAAATAAATGTGCTTTTTTTTTCAAATGGACCCGATAAGACCCGAATTCTTTTCAACTATCCTGAACGTGTACTTGCACGTTCGCGTTAAGTGAGGAACGCACATAGAAAAGGAGCATACGTTTGTAACCTCGCCAACAGAAATCCATCTTATAGATATGACATCCATCAGGAAAATTCACTCGCTTCATTACGCTGCGTATTCATGCAGGGCTTTTCTTTTTTTGTGTGCAGAAGCCTTTTGCTGGAGATTAGGTTGCAGACAACACTAGCGAAGCCATGAATTATGCTATGATCATGAGTTATGCTTTAGATTAGCTATAAAAAGCTATCGATTAAATTTTTATCAAACTATCACGTTTATTTTTCAAATCCACTGGTCACAACTGAAAGCCGAACTCACAAATAACTTGTATCCATCAGGCAGGCAATAATATAAAGTAATAACCAAATTAAATACATGTTAAATAAATTAAAGTAATGGAGAAGCGGCCAAATCAATCAGCAGGACGCCGGGATTTCCCTGACTGGCTGTATGGCTGCAGGCTGTGCACATGTCAATGCCGTTTACGTTCGGGTCCAGTCGGGTTCGAAAATAAATGCAGTCGGGTCGGGTCGGACTCGGGTCTAATTTCATCGGGTCTGTCTCGGGTCGGGTTTTTCTTTTTGAAAAAATAATGTATGCACGTCGAGTTCGGGCAAGAAGTGATTCGGGTCGGGTACAGATTTTAGGACCCGATTAGACCTCTACTTCCCAGGCATCTACAACTGTACACTTCTCGTTGTCAAGCAATATATTAACTCAGAATCGCTATTAGCATATTTTACTCTTAAAAAAAATCTAAATATAAACCTTGATATAAACAAATGTCAAGGATTTTGAAAAAAGTTAAAACAAATAAAAGCTTTAAAAAAATGAATACAAAATATTTCAGATTCTGCACTAAATCAAACAATTAAAATGATGTGACTCTTTGTACAAACGGTCAGATGTTCTTCTGTAGGTCAGGAGCTCTTTAGATTATTTCAAAATCTTCAGTATCACATGATCATCCAGAAATCAGTCTAATATACTGATTTGGTGCTCAAGTAACATTTTGTATTAAACAGCTGTGCTGCTTAATATTTTTGTGGATACGTTTTTGATGAATAGAAAGTTCAAAAGAACAGCATTAACTTGAAATAGAAATATTTTGGGTCCCACTTTATATTAGGTGGCCTTAACTACTGTTGTACATACATGTTTTTACATTGTACTTATATTTTTTAAAAATACCTATATGTAATTACATCTGTAATTAATTTCAGTAATTACATTTATAATTACACTGTTGACCCATCCCTTACACCTTAACCCGCCCTTAAACCTACCCATACCACCAAACCTGTGCCTAACCTTACCCGTATCCCACCTCAATAGCAGCAAAAGTGTTTTGCAATACAATAGGAACACAATAAGTACATTGTACTTATTTTTTGATGTAAGTACATAGTAGTTAAGGCCACCTAATATAAAGTGTGACCATATTTTGTAACATTATAAATGTCTTTACTGTCACATTTGTTCAGTTTAATGTAGCCTTTCTGGAAAGTAATGAAAATAATGAAAATAATTTTAATATACAGTATAGTTTTAGGTCAGCAAGTTTGCTTTTTATTTTTTTTAAGAAATTGTATGAATGTATGTATTATACAGTATATAACAGACAACCACACACACACACACACACACACACACACACACACACTACTTTGCTCTCTAGATATTGGCATCAGTCATTGAAAACTCATTTTGAACACTGCGCATTTCTTGCCGAAAATGGTTCAGCAATCAAAAGCTGATATTACAGAGTTATTTCAGCCGAATCACTCTTCTATATTGAGCAAAATGGGGAAAAAAGACAGTTTGGGAAGAAAACTGCCTAAAATTTGTCTTACAATTCCTAATATAAGATAGTGATAGTGGTATGAAGGACATATGCAGAACAACTGATTTTTTTTTGCAAAATATACCTTTATTACAGATGTTTTATATGACTCACCTTTGGACTCCACCAAGGCCAGGGTTTTAAGCTGGCCTGTTATGAGAGCTTCCTGCAGGTCCCGGTAAGAGGAGGAGAGAGTGATATATCGCACTGACGGCGGTGGACACGGTGTGAGTGACTGCGCCAGAAAGAGCCGCCGCCCCTGTGGGAATCACCATTTCATCTCGTATCAAATTACAGTAGCAGTCACCCGCCGCAAGCCATCTGATTTCCTATTGTGCTCCTGACAAGCTTTTTGCTCCGCTGCACAATGCAGCGCTACTGCTGAAGCCATCTCCACAGGCAAGATCTAATTTGGCTGTTGGTCTGTGTGGGTTAATGAAAAATGTATGACTCTTGCATACAACACCCTGCAGGTTCAATTACGTGTGTGAATAAGATATAGCCACGACGGGCTGAAACTGATGGCTTTTGAAAGAAAACAAATGGACATCCGTGAGAAGGCATGCACAATCGACGGTCTCACCTACAACTGCATATGCGCCGGGAACTATGGGATATACAGTGTTGTCAGCGTGTATTCCTTCAGGGAAGACGGCGGCCATGCTCTCGCCGACCAGTCGACCGAACGCAGCCCCTGTACGACACACAGAATTCACAACGTAGATTCAATGACATTTTGGGGGTGACAAAAACACCAAATTAGTAACATGTGCTTGACGTATACTTACATGAGGTCACAAACATTGACTCCCGAATAAAGCTGCAGTGATTTCACGAGTTTACACACAGGCTTTAGTGAGTCAGACAGTGATGAGGGATGGAAATGGAGAACATGATTGCGGGAAAAGGAAAACAACCATTAAGAACAAACTAAAGTATGATGGCTGGTATGAACACAAGAGCAAAATAATGTTCAAAAGTGCTCACTCATACAATAGTGAATTGAAATGGAAACCAAAAAAGCATATCCCACAGTGTTGACTTTCAAAAGCAACACACGCACACGATAATCACATACCAATGAGGAAAACCGGCATGAAGGCCCCACAAGGCACAGGCATTGTTGTGGCCACAGCTGACATCCAGAACTGAGGAAAACATTTAGAAGCCACAAGGTCACACACTTGAACAAAGACACCGTTTAATAATTAAGCAATATCACACTCGCAATCGCGATGCTGTAGTGAAAATCAGGACGACTGTGATTTTCCTGCAGCCGAATCAAATCTGTGCTGGTTTTTACTATATAAGCACAATTCAACACATACAATAGCTCAAACCAGAAGTTAATACTGAGTGACTGATATTCAGAGACAATATGACCATGTTTTATTTATTTTTGCAACTAGAATAATTACAAGAGAAGATGTATAATACAATATGTTACATTCACATATTGCTCAGAGTTTTACATTGCTATTAAAGGAATAGTTCACCCACTGAAAATATACACACCCTCAGGCCATCCAAGATGTAGATGAGTTGGTTTCTTCATAAGAACAGATTTGGATAATTTATGCATTACATCACCATCAGTGGATCCTTTGCAGTGAATGGGTGCCGTCAAAATGAGAGTCCAAACAGCTGATAAAAACTTCACCACACCATTCCAGTCCATCAATTAAAGGGGTCATATGATGCGATTTCAACTTTTCCTGTAATGCGTCGTAAAAATTATGTGTTTTTTGAACATTAAAGCATGTCAACATATTCTGTTACACCAAATACACCAAATAACGATCTTCAAAATAGCATCATATGACCCCTTTAACATCTTTTGAAGTTAAAAACCGGTGTTTATAATAAACAAATCCAGCAACATGTTGTTAACTTCAAACCATTGCTTCCGGCTATGGTTCTCTATCTATGATATTATAATATTATGGATACATAATATTTCTTCAGTGAAAAAGTTGTCTTGTCTAAAAACAGGAGATAAATATGCACATATCAAGCACCATTCTAAAGAAATAGGTTGGTGGATTTTGATTTGACAACAGAGGATGGAATTTTTTGCTGGAGGAAGAAATATTATGAAATTTTGACTTTTTGGTATTTTAGCCGGAAACAATGGTTTAAAGTTAAAAACATCTTAATGACGTATTTATTTATTACAACCAAGCAACTTTTCACTTCACAAGACATTAATTGATGGACTGCATTACTTGTGGATTATTGTAATGTTTTTATCATATGTCTTCTGTCTTCATCACTGTAGAGCTGGGGTGGCCAACGTTGGTCCTGGAGAGCCACAGTCCTGGACAGTTCAGCTCCAACTCTAATCAAACACACCTGAACCAGCTAATCAAGGTCTAAGGCTTACTAGAAAGCTACAGGCAGGTGAGTTTTTATCTCCAGGACCGACATTGGCCACCCCTGCTGTAGAGGATTAATTGGTGAGCGAATGATGTAATGCTAAATTTCTCCAAATATGTTCAGATGAAGAAACAAACTCATCTACATCTCGGATGGCCTGAGGGTGAGTAAATTTTCAGCAAATTTTTATTTTTGGGTGAACTATTCCTTTAACAATCATGGTCTTTATATTTGACATAATACGATGAGACGCACCTTCATGACAATGAAGAGGAGGAGTGTGATGAACACACTGACTTGTGGATGCTTCCAGGCCTGAGGTACTTGACTTGAGTATGCAAACTCCTCAGCAACACCTTGCTTGTACCAGGTCTGGTTGTCAAAGAGTGCCACTAGTGACTCATGTTGAGTCAGCTAAATGAGGAGGCAGCGCAGTTTGTTATTTAATGCATAATGACTGATCTGGAACAAATAAATCTATCAGCATGAAGCACACTTGAAAGACTGAAAAAGTCTGGTTGTGTAGAAAGAAGAAAGATACAGAGAAGGAAATCTGAAGAAATTTCGATGAGACACAAAATAAATATGAAACATCAGACCTGGCCTGCCATGAACTGTCCAAACCCTGGAGGAAAGGTGAGTGTAGAGACAAGAAGAGTGACCACTGCCGGATACACTAGTCTTCTATGGGATGCCAAACATGAGAAAGAAAAATGACTTTTACATTAAAAAAAATAAATATTTTACTATATAATATAATATAATATTTATTTAAAAATACAAATAAAAGTTTAATTATTATTAAGTAATATTTTTTGTAACATTCTTAACAATGAAATGAAAATTTATGCTGAGCTAGTACCTAAATAAAATACATTGGACAACGAGAAATACTGTTGAGAAGCAGTAAAAAACTCACTTTTTTAGCAAAAACTTGTTGATGGTTTTCTGTTTTCTCATAGACTCCACTATGATCCTGTTCAGGTAGACATACAACGCCCCACCAAAACCACTGGCAATCCTGAGAAAAAAACAAAAACAAACAAACAAAAAACAACAACAGATAAGAAGAAGCATTCATCTCATAAAACAAGAGGCATAACTACGATCATTGCACATTTCTATTTTACAACTATGAACTAACTAGTTGTATTTAAAGACTAGACGTGTGAACCTGACCTGTCAACCAGAACACAACTCTACATGTTTGAAAGCAGAAGTACAAGCTTTGCAAATAAACTGTTCTACTGAGCTTAGACATTTTTAACACAAATGTTCTTAGACAAGGATGTTGGTTTGCATGAAATCAGTGTTTTGACTACCGTAATTTAAATTATGCAAATCACATTTCTGTTTAGGAGATAGATGGCAAAGGTGAGACACAAACCCGAGCACAGCAAAAGCTGGAAGCTCTTGTAGGTCAAAGGGAAAGTCCAGACGAAAGCGCGTTTTGAAGAGAGCCGTGATTGTCTCTGCAATATGACGAAGAGAGAATGACAGTCAGAAATCTGAATCATCTGACTGTGTTGACTATCATAATGGATTTTTCCCTCACCCTCATCCTGATTCCACACTGCCAGCACCCTGAAGATAAAGGCACTGAAGGTTGCAGCGAAGAATCCTCTCCAGTAGTTCCTCACAGCAAAGAACGTAGATGTGACCTCAATACTAAACAGCACTCCTGCCACAACACAGCAGATCATACGACAAACAACTCAGCTCAAAGCTGGAAGTATACAGGGGAATGTTACTGTTTAAATGTGATATGACGTTATCTCCAGTGGCCAGCTATGATCGCAATGTCTGGACTTACCTCCAATAGGGGCCGCAAAGCAACAGCCCACCCCCACTGCACAGGCGGCTGACAGCATCTCTGTGTTTCTCAGCTCATTCTGTCAGATTAACAAGAAAACCCAAATACATGCAAATCCTGTTTCAAATGACATGTCGCGGTGGCATTTTACAGGCAGCCAAAAGTGGAACAGGGTAATTACACTGACGGATACATGGCAATGACATGCGAAACAAGGTATTGCTATGAACACAATTAAAAAATGGACAAACACTGCTCTTTCATTCACTGTATGCTATCTTTGTGAACGGTTTGCTATGGCCAGGGAGGATGAAGTCCAGTACAACTCTAAATTACAATGGAAAAATGGTAAACTTGAGGAAAAAAAAAGAATCACAAATGGAGATTTAAAAAAAATAATAATATTTTTTTCTTTTCATTATAACACTTTCAATAAATCTGATCACATGGACACACCCAAACATAATAATACCTGCATCTTACCTTGTTTCCCTCAAAGGGCTCTTCCTTCAGCAGTAAATCAAAATAACACACATACATGTGAATATCTGCACTCTGTTCTTTCAAAACCTATCAATACTGTAAGTACTGACACTGTTGTTTACGTTTCAAGTCTGTATCTACAAAAAATAAATAATTTAATTAAAAATATTCTATCTTACCCTGGCCCTAATTGGAGCTCATTCATATCCCACTATCAAAAGTAAGACCCACAGGTATGAGGTGTCAGACAAATAATTATCAGCACGGCCCGTTACCTCAGACCCCACTGCCTGATTAACTGTGCAAACATGCCATTGACATTTGCCTAATTAAAGCGCATTCAATTACAGTGCCACAGTTAAAATGTGCCGGAATGTTTATGGTCTCCGATTTTCTGTCAGATTCACTCTGCTCTAACAACATGTTATTGATCCATTCCCCAGCGTGCTGTGATTTCTCCCGTTACTCTGCGGGCAGAGTCCAGAAGGTTGATATTGAATCACATAAAGGCCGACAAACGGCTCCATTCACTGTGCTTGCAATTCCCTCGAGAACCGACACCTTATGTACTCTGACTAATCACAGACTAACAAAAAACCCCAAGAGAACCCTCAGCTGCTTGTTTGTACGATACACGCAGATGAGACTGGAAGAACAAGGCCATGACGTTCCAGTTGCAGTGACATGTAAAGTTGTGATACAAACACAAGTCATTGGTAACGCTTTATAATATCTCTCATTAATGGGTCATTATTAACAGGCCATTTCATTAAGATGCATTTAACAAATATTACATGATGTTTAATTGATCAATAGTTAAAGTACAGTCAAATATTATTAGCAGATGGTACCCCAGCTATTGTTGTTTTCATTTTATTCCCTTTTCAAGAAGAGTCTGAAAATATCAGGCAGATTCAAACTAAAACTAAATCTGTGTGCACAAAAGAGCAAAATGTTGGAACATGTGCACGTTTGTTTTATAATACAATGAAATTCACACATTTTAGAGTGTGACATCAGTGCCCAAAAGAGTGCAAATTCTTAATGGGGCCACTGACATTTCTGATTATTTGATTGTAAATTATGTTTTGTAAAGCTTAATATGTTGTAATAATGTTTGTATCATAAAGTGTTACCAAAGTATGAGATGTCAGAAAGTTACTGACAAAAGTCACCATTTATAGAAAGTATCTCACCATGTAGATTCCTCCAAACAAGGCCATGAATTTGCTCAACAGAGCAGCGCACAGACTGGCAACATGAACAAATGGTCCCTAGAGGACGCAAGAGGAGATAGAAATAACAGACGTGATCACAGGGCAAAGGCTTAAAGTATTTTAGCATTAGAACGCTTATCTAGGATCAGATATCCCCTCTCATGCACCTCTTTGCCTAGAGGCATGCCACTTCCAAGGGCGCAAGTTAAGCCAATCACTTTGGCGACGAAGGTTTTGAAAGTGAGGTACTCTTTTAGCACCACACCTCGGAGGATGGTCTTCATCTCTGGGATCCCAGAGCCTAGAGGAAGAAAAGACGAAGGGGATTACAAAGAGATCTGAGAACACGTAAAGGCCATTTGGCTTAAATTGATTACGTGAGCATTGATGAGTGTGTGCGTATCTCACCCACTGCCTGTGGCGCCAGTATCTGTGTGAAGCCGGCAGAGAATGTGATGAGTACTACTGGGTAAGTGACCCAGGCCAGGTACTGCATCAACATGTTACTGTGCAGACCACCATACATCCACTTCTGTGCTGCAGACACCGACACACACAATATAATTACATCTCTGTAGAGGAATAAGATGCATACCAATGCGTGTGCTTATGCGCTATTCTATGCCATTTGTAGTATAAATAGTGTGAGTTGTGTGTTCATATTGAAAATTGCAGAAAGAAAAAGTACACTTCATATACCTGGATGTACACTTAATAAACCAAAAAATGTTGGACACTTAATGTTCTCAACATGAACTCAGAAAATTCTAAAATTCATAAACTAGGTGGTAGAGTACGTAGTAAAATTGCATAATGTATAGTCATCTGGTACACAACTATAGACTATACTTGTACATTTACTTGTGCTTTGTTATTTAATTGTTAATGTTTTAAGTTCATTTTCCTGCCCAGTTATTTTAGAATTTATACTGACACCTATTCATGTGGATGAAAAAGAGAGATATATATATATATATATATATATATAATTTTATTTGAAGAAATGCCCATAACTGAATCAAACTATAGACTATACATCAATATTTACTTGTGATTTGTTATTTAGTTGATCATTTTTTCTATTAATTTTCCTGCCCAATTTGACAGCTGTCTAAGAATTTATACTGACACCTATTGGCGTGGATACAAAAGCAAAGATTGTTTTTAAATGAAGAAACGCCCATGACTGAATCAAACTTGTGCTCTTTTATTAGTTTTTCCATTCATTTTCCTACCCAATTCGACAGTTGTCTTGAAGTTATACTGACACCTATTGATTTGGATGAAAAAGCGGAGGTTTTTTAATTGAAGAAATGCCCATTAACTGAATCACACTATAGACTATACAGCTACATTTACTTGTGCACTGTTATTTAGTTGTTAATTGTTTCAATTAATTTTTCTGACTGATTTGACAACTTTATACTGACACCTACTGGCGTGGATAAAAAGGGAAGATTTTTTGAAATTTGAATTGAAGAAATGCCCCTAACTGAATCAAAAGTGCACACTAATAGGATGATCACTGGGATCATTTGAATTAGCTGAATATGATCTCAGTGGTTCTCCTGGTGTTTTCAAAGTCCCTTTAAGGCAAGTCATTTCACTCGGCGGCCATCTTTGAAACTCCTCTTGGGCATGCATATGCAGCTCCTATCTCTCTGAATGGGCAAATTCTCAAATTCTCTACAACTGTTCACCAAGCTTAAGATTAAATTTTATATTTGAAATCAACAATGAAATCTGACAACAACTGTCTCATAACTGATGAAAAAACAACTGTTGTTTCTTTTGCTCAAATAGCGTTAAAAAAAGCGTATTTTTCAGGCTAGACCAGCTAGTGCGCATGCGCAGTCCTAAGCGTGCGTCTCAGTACGCTGACTGTTTTTATAGCAACCGGGACTTCTAACGGCAGCTGCTGTGACACACTGACTTTACCGATGAGCAATTGGCCCTGTCCTGTACATTGAGCGCTCTTGCACATTTGCAATGGCAGTTGTTTGCCATTTGTTAATTTATGAGTCTAAAGCTTGTTGTGCACCCTTAATGCTCCCTTCCTGATGTAGACCCCACAGCAGACTACCACTGACAGTCCATGCAACATTACAAGACCAAGGTGTGGACTCAGAGAAGAAACAGGCCCTGTGTAATATAAAATAGTTTTTTGGGGCCATTGATACGACTGGGTTCTACATTTCATGTGAGTGCACATCATTTTAATATATCTGTCATAACATATCTAAGACTTCACAAGTACTACTTGGCAAGTACTGCTTGTTTTTTTTGTACATTTCTGAGGTGTTTTTATATGTGGAAAGCACTTGATGCAGCTAATGCCGTAACATTAAAAAAATTGCCCTTGATATGTGCTAAGACAATTCTGTGCTTTTTTGTCAATTGACTGAACTGCCACAACCCCAGTCCTTGTAAATAAACTCATTCTTTTGTAAAAAGAGGTCAGTGATTTGGCACCAATTCATTCAAGCATTAATGCACCTTCAATCCCAGAATACACGATGATGATATCCAACTGAAAAAAAAAACAATACTTGACTGATTAAATGACACCATCTGTACTTTCATGGAACCCTGTCAGGCAGAAAATTGTCCTTTTCTTTCTTTTCTCTCTCTTACCTTGCTGGCAGAAGGCAATAGTGTAGTCCATAGCCCAGCTGACCAATGCCATGAGGAGCCCCAGGAGGATGAGAAAGATCCAGTCTTCACCCACACGGGAAATCAGGAACTTCCGACACCGTGAAGTGCAGACTGCAGACAGAAATTATAGAGATTACCAAGAAAAAGAAAATTCAGTCATCATGACATATACTCACCCTAATGGCATTCCAAAACTGTATTACTTTCGTTTTATTTTTTATAAACACAAATGGTGAATTATAATAATATGCTGTTTGCTCCTGTCCAAGCAGTTCTAAGTAATGATCACCAAGGCACTGAAGCTTAAAAATATGCAAAACCAGCAGAAAAATCAATTTATACTACTACAATCAAAAGATTGGGGTCTGCAAGTCTCTTCTGCAGGCCAAGAGTGCATTTATTTGATCAAAAATAAAGTAAAAATGTAATATTGTGAAATACTTTTACAGTTAAAAAAACTGTTTCTATTTTAATATATTGTAATATGTAAATCATTCCTGTAGCATTACTCCAGTCTTCAGTGTCACATGATCTTTCAGAAATCATTCTAATGTGCTGATTTGGTGCTCAAGAAACAATCCTTATCATCAATGTTGAAAACAGTTGTGCTGCTTAATATATTTATAACTGTTGTGTACTTAATAGTCTGTGTGTGTGTGTGTGTGTGTGTGAAATATGCAAAACCAGCAGAAAAATCAATTTATACTACTACAATCAAAAGATTGGGGTCTGCAAGTCTCTTCTGCAGGCCAAGAGTGCATTTATTTGATCAAAAATAAAGTAAAAATGTAATATTGTGAAATACTTTTACAGTTAAAAAAACTGTTTCTATTTTAATATATTGTAATATGTAAATCATTCCTGTAGCATTACTCCAGTCTTCAGTGTCACATGATCTTTCAGAAATCATTCTAATGTGCTGATTTGGTGCTCAAGAAACAATCCTTATCATCAATGTTGAAAACAGTTGTGCTGCTTAATATATTTATAACTGTTGTGTACTTAATAGTCTGTGTGTGTGTGTGTGTGTAGAGAGAGAGAGAGAGAGAGAGAGAGAGAGAGAGAGAGAGCACATGAGTCATGTGGAATACTTTTATAATGCATCTATAGTAATTGCATGGCAAGAGCAAAATTCTTCAATTTTCTATTCTTCAGTTTAATGATCAAGGGGTGTGAGTAAATTCACTCATTATTTTCGTTTTTGAGTGATCTAATCTATTAGGCACCTACAACATCCACTGTTTCCCTGTTCTTTAGGTCAGTCTGTGTTCACAACATAGAGATAGGCTGTATGAATAGGAAATGACCTAGAACCCAAGAGCAGTTACCCGAACCCAGCAGTAGGTGCACAGTATGCTTTAATTAAGTTAACAATTGCTCATAAAAAGCTTGTTTTCCCCTGGAATCCCATGTTTCCAGATTCATGAGAAAACAGAGAGTGTGAACACTTGCACTGTTGCATAGGTGGACAGGGTTGCAGAGACCAAGACAGGAAATGGCTTGTGTGTTTGAAGATAAGACGCATCTGAAAGACAGCAGAAAGGGAAGGGTCACGGCAGGTGAAGGGACACCTCTGTGTAGAGATGCTGCCCCGCCAGCTTCAGCACCCGCTCAGCAGCCCTTTGTGCGGGAGTTGGCACATGGGTCGATTTGCCCACTGAAGTGGCACAACAGATGTCTTTGCTCTCAAAATAAACCCTGTAACAATCCACAACCGAGAAAGCAATAAGCCGAACCAAATTTACCGCAACTCAAGCTTTATTTTGGATGCGCAAACCTGCAGTGCTTATCTCCAAACCGCGCAAGACAGAAGTGCTGAGATGCGGCAAATGTTGACACTTAATTGGAGTTTGAGGAATAACCGTATAAATATGCAGAGCCCATGCTTCCCCACACAGACTTTAGTGTCTTTGACAAGTGAGTCACAGGCCAGGACTGGAAGTGACATCCTTATGTGGCATGCATGCATAATATAACAATGTATTATATATCCAAGATCTATTTATATCCCCAGAGCGAGTAGAAAGGTGTAGGAGGTTTGGTGAGTGGCAATAGTATCTGCCCTCTTTCTGCCTGATATGACAACTTATGCGGCTTTTTCTTCATTGAGCCTCACAATTTCCCATGAGGGCGAGCTGGTGGACTGCTGCCAGTTCTCTGTTTTCATCCACAGATCCAAAACAATTAGTACTGAAATAGACAGATTAAGTCAGCTATGGTGGTAGGACTTCTCTCTAAGTTGCATAGAGAACAAACAGCAGGATGCTGACAGCTTGTCGCAAATCTACCCCCCTCTGTCATCTTAAAATTCACAAATAAAGTGTAATTATACAAGGGAGAGAGAGATATGTGCTTATATGCTCTGTTTGGTTATGGGCATATACTGTATGCTCTGATGCTAGATCTAACACGAAAAACATGCATATTGTTTTGACAAATAAAATAAGTTGATTAAGGCGAACTGTTTGATTTCATTAATGTGGTTTATTGAAGCAAAACAAAAAACAAAAAAACAAATCAATAATGTTTTGGGTAACACTTTATTTTGATAATCCACTTTCTACTAGTTATAAGCAACTACGTCAACTACCAGTCATTTAAGCATTAGTAGACTGTTACTTGTAGAATGTCTAAAGTGGACTATCAAAATAAAATGTAAGCATGTTTTGAATTGCATGGCATTATTGTTAAGAAAAAGTGTGTTTATAAATTTGTCACTTTGTCATAGTTGTCATGAAAAATATCAATATGATCTCTGGAACATAAAAATGTATGACTAAATACAATTTTTTTTTTTTTTTTGTGCTGACGCCATTTAAATTTTGTCAGGGTAATTACATTTTTTACAGAGCCATCTGATAAAAAAAAAGTTTTTTATAATAAGCTGGCATAACAACACTGACTTTATCTCAAAAGCTAATGAGCTGCCAACAAAGCCAACATCATAAGCACGTTCTCGACCAAAAGGTATGCTACCTGCCAAGATACTCTCTTCTGGCCAAAACATCACATGTATCCTTCACAGAGAAGGCAATCCCAAAACGCTGACAAGATCAGTGAAAAAAAAAATCCTTTGCACAATACTTAAAAATACTGTAGTGTGAATAAAAAATGTATTGTGATACCCAATATTTCAGTGTGCTATGAATTTTAATGCTTATTAGAGTATCATTTTATCAACAGCAACAAGCTAACAGCAAACTCAGTGTATTTGCTTAAACACTTGCTTATTTCAGTAAATTTTGATTCGTTTCATTTGTAACATTTTATATTTTGGTTATTTTATAATGCTTATTGTGATTTCTACAGTCAACTGTCATTTATTTCAGCAAGATGTATTCTTTCTAAGAGTTTTTGGTTATGTATTATTTTATTCCCATCTTGCTTTTGTATGTCACTTCCCTTTTTTGTCATCCGCATGAAAAGATGGAGCAATGTTATTATCGCAAAGTTTAAGGTGTTTCTCTTTATGATTATAAGCTATCCGATCAAGAAACTTAAAGATGCAATCACTCTCTTAGCTCAAAAGCAGGCAAAAGTGGTATGTGGATGCATTTTTTGTTCATTTACGAGTTTAAAATCCATAGGTGTTTTCCATGTAAGTGAATGTGTGACTGATGTTTGTTAATATATTCGTCCTGTTTATTTAGTTCTACGGTGTTGGTGTCTGTGTTGAAGAGTGCATTAAACATCTGTGAAAAAAGATCCTCAGCCTTCGCGTTGTGACTAAAGGCAGCATACTCAAACAAATGTTCGTTATAAATATATCTACTTTGCTCAATCCTTAAAAGTATTGCCAATATAGTTAGTGTGAATAAAAATGTATTATTTTACCCAATATTTCTGTGTGCTGTGTATTTTAATGCATATTGAGCACCATGCATTTAGCTTAGCAACAAGCTAACGGCAAACTATTAGAGACCAGAGTCCAGTGAAGAGCGCCATGTATGTGTTGCTGCATATGCAGAGCATTCCAAATCAGTCACTTATGACGTTTCATGATGGTTAGGATGCCTTAGTAGGTAGCCACCTATGTAAGCAGCATGCAGAGTAGCAGCTCGCTAGAGTTTTACAGTCAGATGGAGGAATAAAATAGAAATGAGCCAGAGACACAGAGAGAAAGAAACAGACATATGATGCCAGCTCTGTAGACCAATGTGTAGGTAAGTGAGCTGACAAGCCTCCAAACCCCTCAACTCAGTCAAGGAGGATCAGAAGACCTGCGCTGCACACTGCTGATAGATTCTGCTCACGCTTTTCACACTCAATAGGGAGGCAGGAAGGATGCTATAGAGACAGATGCTGTGTGTCTTTGGAGATTACACAAGGCCAAAAGAGCAGTCTATTTATATTACAAGAAACCAATGAGATACCTCATTAGCACTAAAAACATTGGACTGTGAGACACCGTTGCCTATTTAATGAGAACTCAACATTTCTTTTCAGGGAATTTATCACAGACTTCCAATATGAATGGCAACTGCTTTTGTTCAAAGCTCTCTTTTTTCAGCCAATCATCTTAACGTACCATTAAATGGAAAAATAAATCAATGCTGGGCGAATAGTTTTTATCTCTAAACTCAAATGTAAAAGTCCATATAATACATCCTTTGGTGAATGGTGACGCATTTCTAGACACAGATGCACAGGCACACAAAGACACAGAGGTTCATTACAGATACACTGCACGTCTATGTGTCTCATCTATCACCCCTAAACAGCGCAGACTGATTATGCTCCCTGCTGGTGAATGGCGAGCACTGCACTGAGGTGCAGAGGGAATTGAACAGGCTGATAAATGCTGCAAGTTGTTATTTACAGGCTAGACAACAGCAAGCGTTCAGCGCCAATGCATGAAAAATTATTGGGGAAAAATGTCTCCACCATAAATATGAAGACGCCTTTAAGATTCGGGTGATGGCCACACCTGTGGAATGTAAGTGACAGGGGTGCGTTTCCCAAAAGCAACTATGGTCGCAAGTTCCGTCGTCACCAATAGATTTCAATGGAACTACCATAGTTAGCAAACGATGCTTTTGGGAAACACACCCCAGATTGATAAACAATGGCAGCTTCACAAGCCAGTGACAATTAATCACCAGTAGAGGGCAATCTATAAAACAGGAGGTTAAACACCACATCTGCAAGCGTCAGACATGACCATATCCTGTCTCACTGAACTGCCTCAAATGCATGAGCAGACCCAGATGAACTTGTTGGAGAATATATGTGGAATGGATTTAAATATGTTAAAGCTATGCATTATGCAGGTTAGTGCTGGTTTGATGCTAGTCTAACACGGTTGAAAAAGCTGGTCGGCCAGCATGTTGTATTATGGTGATGCTTTTTGACCAAGAAAGTCTTGCTGGTTAAGTTGGAACAGCAGTCAGTGTTTGAATTGTGGCGCCCATCGTGGGGTCTGCCTCCCTTAATTCAAGCCCGAAAATCCCCTAAAGATGGGTTTCAAAAGTATGTATAACTTTTACATATAGAGGAAAAATTGGTTTTCAGGTTGGGTTTCATTAACCACAAAAAAGTTAGATTAATCAGAGCACAAACAGAAGTCGTGCCATCTGAGGGGGGTAACCATAGCAACAGCTGCTTGATCCCTGTCTGAGTACATTGACAAAACATAAGTACTGTCATCATTTTTGTCATTTGTTTTTCTTTGGACAATTCTTATTTGTATGGAATATTGCAGTGTTTATTATAAGTGATTTATTGATAGATTAAATCATCCATTATTTTTTTTAATTCACGTCTCCTCATAATTTTGAATCAAGATAACTTCCCCGCCTCCTCGCAATGACATCTCTTCTCTGATGACATGTGCAAGGCAGGAAAATAATCCTTCCTCTCCCTGTGACACATGAGAATGCAGCAATTAACAACAATGTTCCAATCAATTCCCGATTCTTTCTCATTTAAGAAACTGTATCACTCAGAAATACGTCACAATAAGGAAAAAAAAAAGCTTTAAACTTTAAACTTGCATCATATTTTTGGTTTACAGACGTACTAGAGGCATATATCAGCTTAGATAGGAGGGCCTCTGAATATTTTCTTGAACAAAGTAGGGCTTGGAACTCCAAAAGTTTGTAAACCATTGTGTTAGATGGAGATGAACGGTATGGCCGTTCCAATCCTGCAGGAAAAGCATGAATCCTTAAAGGGGTGGTTGACTGGTTTTGTTCTAGGCTTGATTGTGTTAATGGGGTGCAGTCTAACTTGTGTTAATGCTTAGTTTTTTAAAAAACGCATAATTTTTCACATAATTTACCTTTATTCTTCACCGCTCTGTCCCTTCTCTGATAAACGCGCGCATGTGCTCCGGTTGTATTGTAAACAATGGCGTCGTCTATATTGCTCATCAATTTGAGCCCGATTGAGACGCAGAGGATATTAAAAGAGGATAGTAAAGAGGATCGCGCAGAACCTGTGCAAGCACGGCTCTTAATGGTCTGTTTGTTTGTTGTTGTCTCATACTTTTAGATACGCTGTTATTTGTGAATGTTACTGCTTCTGTTAGCTTTTAATATAAGTTTTTATCCTGATGAAAGCTTTAATACAGTATGGCATAGGGCTGCACGATTAATCAAATGCGATTGTCATGCGCTGTGAGATGAAGTGGCTTCTTACACAGAATAAGGCACGCAACATATTTCATAGTATTCTAAGCAGTGATAGAGGCATTGCATTATAAATATACTTTATTTTAATGAAAATTATAATAATAACTCAGATAAACCATATATTGTCGTAGTCGTGTGTTTATTAGTCACTTTGAATCAATAAAAGCAGTTAAATCTTCTGTTTATCCAGCTACCGCTATAGGCATTTCCTGGGTTTCTTCTGCGAGGCGTATTTGGAGTTTCAGCGCGAGAGCACCCTCTGGCCTTTGGATGGAGATTTACTGCTGATCACAGAACCGTGCTTCACTGAAAGATACACATGACAATCGCAGCTTCTGTCGAATCGTGATTTCGATTCCATTTCAATTTATCGTGCAGCCCTAGTATGGCAACTGCACGCACATCCATGTATAACGGTTCTCATAGCTATGTGAAAATAAGTGTATAAATGGTGTATAAAAGTGTATAAACAGAGCTGAGCTGATGATCTGAATGAGAGAGAGAGAGCGAGAGAGAGCTGATGATCTGAATGAGAGAAAGAGAGAGATGCAGAGCATGTGTAGAGCAGGGGAACGCGAGGAACAGTATCGAGAACTGCTGCTTTAGAACATTGATTTTGAAACTTTTGAATCCATTAGAATCGTTAGAAGACAGAATCATGATTCATATATGAATAGATTTTTACGTGCACCCCTAGTTTTCTCTTCCTCTTCTCTAAAGCAGCACAGTATAGCTTTGCCCTCTTCGTTGCATGTTCCCGGGGGCGGGGTTTTATCAGGGTTTGTGACGTCATGAATCCCGGAAGTAACTTGTTTTAGTCCCTACGAGCCGTTTTTGTAGGCCTTAAACTGCCAGAATTTTAAAAGACAACATTTCTGTTTGCATTGAACTTTCAACTTCGTAAATTTGCAGATATTGTTTATGCTCAAACAGCAACATTACACACAAACTAACATTAAAAAAGTGAAATCGCAATCAACCACCCCTTTAATGCCAAGTTTTACTGCCACTGATTCCATGTGGGCCTTAACAAGAGTGTAGATGTATCAGCCTGAGTAAATCCCTCCCACTTAGCTCCACCATAGGTCTCACCTAATCCCCAATTCCAGCATGTTCTTACCAACTCTTTTGCCTCCTGCCCTTTACAACCCTTTTTCTCTTTCGATCCCTGCTGCCCTTCATCCTTGTGGATTTGCTCTGCTTTCCTAGCTTTGCTCTGTAGCCACTGCTGCAAATAGCAAGCTATGATACTAGCAGACCAGCCAGCAAACAGTTGGCCCACGTATGTATACAGCACACCCACCTTGACACTTGGCACACGAGTCCTTCTCATACTCCATCAGTTCTGGAGCCTGGCCACGCACACTGGTGGTCCTCCGCAGTGCTCCATCTTCACGCAGACGAGCTGCCTCTTCTTTGGCATAGGCCCCCAACTCCTGTGTATAGCGTCCATACATCTGAAAGTTAGACAGGAGTGAATGAAGATTTTACCTAGGAAGGAAATGAAGGGAAGCCAAGCCGAGAAATGCTTCACTGAAATAATGTACAACTTAACAGGCTGTTCGAAAACCCATCAAATAAATGAAGGTAGTCTGTCAGAGGTTCCTGTCCCTGAGTACGATTCCTGAAACATTAAGCTACCATGCTTCACTGCAATGGTGCTATTTGTGAGATTTATATAGTTAAAGTAAGAGTTAACCCAAAAAAGAAAATTGACTGAAAATCTACTCTACTAGATGTTGATGTGTTTGTTTCTTCATCGGAACAGATTTGGAGAAGTTTAACATTACATCACTTGCTTACCAATGGATCCTCTGCAGTGAATGGGTGCCGTCAGAATGAGAGTTCAAACAGCTGATAAAAACATCACAATAATCCACAAGTAATCAGCATGACTCCAGTCTATCAAGTAACGCCTTGTGAAGTGAAAAGCTGCATGTTTGTAAGAAGCAAATCAGTCATTAAGGCATTTTAATTTTAAACTATTGCTTCTGGCCAAAATATGAGTTCATAATCCATAATTCAACCCATAATCCAAAATGATGCATCCACCAGTGAAAAAGTCAATCTCCTGCCGCCGTCTTACATCAAAACACACCAAAATATTTAGATGTTTAAAACTGTTTTGGACTGTTATTGTTTGTAAACTATGCTTGATCTGCACATATTTCTCTCCTGATTCAGACAAGATTACTTTTTCATTGGAGAAAGCAGTATTATGGATATAGGACTTGTATTTTTGCTGGAAACAGCAGTCTGAAGTTAAAAACGTCTTAATGATTCATTTATTATAATGTGGTTGGGTTACTGTAATGGTTTTATCAGCTGTTTGGACTCTCACTCTCATCTGATGGCACCCATTCACTGCAGATGAGCTATTGCTGAATAGGTCATGTAATGGTAAATTTCTCAAAATCAAATAAAGATGGCCTAAGGGTGAGTAAATTCTCATCACATTTTCACTTTTGGGTGAACTATTCCTTTAAGCATCCACATTTGACCTAATTGGACCATGGAAATTGTTGAGTCACTCTCAAGTCCACCTGAGATGTGATTTGAGCTCTTGTCCATACAAGACTCGCAAGACTACAGAGTTATGAATTGTTGATGTTGTTGTTGTCTCAAGCATGTTCTTCAATCTTTCATGGAGGCTGTGTTCTATGTTCCTGTGAGCATTTTCGTGATCTTTTTTCCTAAGGCTCTGTCCACCTAGGTGAACAACTTGGTGAAAAAAAGTTCTGAGCAGATTCAGAGATGTTCCACATTTTTTGTACATAGTTTACTTTTCTTAAAGGTATGTTCAATGCTTTGGAAATGTCCTACGTACTTGCCCTGAGTGGAATTTTATATGTATCTTGATGCAGTTTGGCTTTGAAAGTGCCTTTGTCCTGATGACGTAATGTTTCCTTAGAACTGCAAAGAGATGCTCCCACACAGACCCAGGTGTGTTTTATTTTGAATTCATGTACCTCATACCTCAGATGCAGATACACAGATTCCAGTTAAATCATAGTGCGATTTCTGTGTTGTTCCATTGGTTAGATCAGTAATCATTTAGCTGTTAAATCAAGTCACTAAATACTTGTTCATTCAATTATTATTATTATTATTAATAAACATTTTTAATGTGTGTGTCTTCAAATATGGGCACTTGGGTACCAAGTTATGTATAATTTTATTTTATTTTATTTATACAACAGATTTTCACATTTTTGTTATAAAAAGGTCAGATGAAAGTGGAAACTTTACTGTACATGTTCCAGACAGACTCTGCTGTAACTTATTCAGCATTTAACATTGTTATGCCAGTAGATGGTGACAAATGACTGTCTTGTCTTGTCAATGACTCAGCTACTCAACTGATTTGTTCAAAGACTACAATTCATTCGGGAACAAAGTAAGTGATGTGAGTGAGTGAGTCATTGAATCATTTACATAACCATTCATTTTAAAAACACAATTCATTCAGGAATGATGCACCACTACTCAATAGTTTATTCTGCTTGTGTTATATTCCTAATTATAGGCCTACTTTATAATAGTCCTTACAGTTTTATACTAGGTTCTGCCTGCTGTGTCATTTGCAGTGCTTCAGGGATGAGTAACACATTCTATTATGTAAGAATACAGTCTTTTACTTTTGTAAAAAAAAATTTTTTGATTTTCAAATACCTTGGAAAGCTTCAATCAAATGTTATAATGGTGTGATTCATCTCTGTGCTGGTTGGTTTGGATAACACAAAAGAATACTTCTGTAATGAAGGACACTGGAAAAGTGTGCATGTTAATCAGCTAATCAGCTGTGGGCTTGCTATTGTCTGGAAATGTGTCAGTTAATATAGAATGTCTGATGTTCTTATTACTTGGAGTCATGATAAAGGATGGAGCAATACGCTGGTTTACAAACTGCAGTGATTTATCAGTACTCAATGTGTGTTCAGCTATCGCATATACCATTATTGTTTGGGTGTTTACTACCAAGCGGTGGGCGCGGTTCACTAACATAAGTGTAAAACATCTTTTTCCCCTCTGATTCTTTCTTTTTAGAACAAAGTGGAGCACTATCATTATTATAATAGGATGTATTATTGATAAGCTGTAATCCAGTAATGGTGATGTGCATTCCATTTCTGACATGCGCTGTACTTAGTAAACCAATCACAACTGACTGGGTCATCTGACCAATCAGAGCAGAGTAGCTTCACGCAAAGGAGGGGCTTGGAAAGTTGAATCTTTGAATGAATCGTTTGAGAGTCGTTGAGAAATAACATAAAATTAAATGCATGTTATAAGAAAATGAACATGTTTTTTGACCTTGCATGCATGTAAACCTGTTGTTGGGGACTCCCACAACCAAATTATGATCCTAGGGGCACTAGGGCACTACTTTCACATTTTGCTGCATTCAGCTGATATACGGTAATGTCAAACAGTGAGAATCAAGTCGTTTAAAACAGCATGCTTGATTGGTGGTTCAATATGGTAATATTCAGTACAAAACTATTTTGGAAACTAAAACAAAGAAGCATACTAAACATCAGCATTTTTCAACCACCACCGCCAATGAATATTTCACTAGTCAATAGAGTAGTTACAGATTATTGCACACAGTCCCATGAGACCATAAATCAAACTGAAATCTATACTTCTATTCTCTGACTGCCCAGCACAAATTTTCTGAGGCGATCTTGAGAATGTGATTTAAATGAGCAGTGAAACTCAAACCCAAATGGCTTGTTATTTGATAAAGATCCTGTATTGTTTTTGTGTTGTTATACATCGGCAAAAGGTAAATAAAGATATAATGAGCAGATATGTCCCTGTTTAATCAATCAGTCTGGAAACTGGATAAACAATAACTTTCAAGTTAAAAAAAATGAAAAGGTTTATTCTGTTTCTGGTTTTCAGGAACACCATGGGAGACATTATTGAGGACACTGCAAAACAATTTAAAGAGACAGAGATACAAATTTACAGAAGGCTGGATACTGATACTTAGAAAAGTCTCTGTAATTTATGTTTTTAAGCCATAGCACAGCTTTATGCATCACATAATAAACCACAGACCATGATTTCTGTTTGAGATTCAAAAGCCAGACAAACACTTTATCAAGTTGATCAAGGCAGGAGAAGAAGTAATGTTAAAAAAACTGAGCAATTTATTTACTGGATTGCTGGATTTGTTAGTTGCGTCATTGTCAAAGCTTAGTCTGAATTAATTTGACTAGAGACACATTCAATAAGTGTTTTAACAAAAGCAATGTAAAAAATACTTTGTATAGTGTGGAAGATCTTGAAATAGAGACAATGCCTTATTTAGATTATTTAGACAATACAGCACACAACATAAATAGCAACAACTGCCAACGATGAGTAAATCTTAGTGAGTTATAAATATTTCTTAACACCTATTAAAACTGTATTTTGCATTATTTTTACTAAAATGTCTGTGTCACTATGACAATGATATTTAGCAGTTTTTCAATTCATATTTGTGACAAAAAACATAGGTCATTGTGTCAGTCATAGCATATCTGTTTATCAAATGAAACTGCATTTGCCACACACACACACACACACACACACACACACACAAAGAAAAACAAGAAGACACATTGTGATTTGGTCTTATGTTAATTTTTGTGGCTTAATGTGGGAAGCAATTGACATACGCATCTCCACATGGAGTACTGGAGAGAAAAAAAATTAGACAGCCAAAATAAAACTCTTTTAAAATTGTTAGAAAACATGCTTTAGTAGGATGATTTTAATCACTTATGGTTTGAAATGTGCATATCCCATTAGTGATGGTCAGACTCGTCTTAGAATTGCTCGCCAAACCCATTTGGTGCACATTAAAAAAGTCTAACAGAGAGTAAATAAATACTTTTTCAGTTTTTCTACTTCAAAATTCCACGATTCATTCATGTGTTACCTGCCATTTCTTTGTAATTATTTGCGAAATTAGTGAAAATTGTTTCCTATGCCAATTTATTTTCAGTGTGTTGAGTGAGGTTCAATTTTGGACCCTGATTGGAGATTTGATTAAAGTGTCAATCAATTTTACAATTTTCTTTTTCGGGGAGTCGGTTCTTTCAGCAAATTAATCGCGAATTTGCAACAATGCTTTGAACAACTTTGTATCCTCCAGCTGAATTTCCATTTAATTACGTTCAACTGTATCATCCTGACATGATTTTGTCCGCCGATATTAAAAAAAAATCCTCATGTGTGGGTGACGTAAGGGGGTATTTTGAGCCATTCCCACCCATTGTAACCCAGTCCTCTGCCTTTCCCTATTCCTTTCTTCTCCCATCCCTCGTTCTTACCATCAGCTGCTCCCACACAGGCACATGCCCACGGCACTAAAGATGGATAGACAGGGATATTGGCAGGTCCGTTGTGTAGTGCCACAATCCCTCTCTCCTACTCCCGCCTCCTGTTTCTCCCTCTCTCT